TGGGGTGGTGAAGAGGGGGGGGGACACCCAGGTACAATTTCCCGGCGCTGCTCTCCGTGGGTCCCCTTCACCGGCTCTTTTCAGGTATCCCGGGCTGTGTGGTTATTCTCGGGAAGAAAAATAGCATCGGCTGTGGAGCTGGTGGGGGGGAAAGGTGGATATAAGCTTGTTCTTCGCTTCTGACCCCCGTCTTGTTGTGGAAACACTTGGTGCCGTTGGGACGTCTTGACATTTCAGGCATCTGCTGTGGGAGCTGCTGCGGAAAAGAAACCCAAAACACAGCTGTCCTCGGAGTGGAGGGAGCTGTGTAAGAGATACCCCTCCTCCTCTTCCCCCTCTCTCTGTTGGTTTGAGTGCTCGCTCAGCTGGATGGGAGAGAGCTCGTTCCCCCGAAGGCTGGAGGAAGGTCGGGTTTTCACGCAAAGTATTCGGAGACTGAAGAGTTGTAGCTAACTCCAGCGTGCGTGTGACGAGAGGAGTGCGGGCTCACCCAGGCAGCGCTCCCCCACGCTGGTTTGGGATGGGCGAAGTGTAGGTCGGCTTAAAAAGTCACTGTTGTCCCACAAATCCACCGGCTTTGCAGCTGCGCTGGCTGGAACCCCTGCCCAGCTCTTGGGTGGATAACGGCCGCTTGCGCCTGCGAGTCTGTCCCGGAAGGTTCTTCTTTTCATCTCACCTTCACTTTATGACCTGAAGCATTGTGTTTGAGCGTCTTCTAATACCTTACCTTAGACTGTTCTAATACTTACACCAGAAACGTAGCTTTCGTATGAATAAGTTTAGTTGTCGGTGCTTCTATTCAGCTTCCTTACTGCTCATCAAGCAACGTTCAGTTTCTTACGTGAAGCGGTACCATTCGGTCACTGGTTTGAGACCTCTGGTGCTTTTAAAAAAGAAAAGCTAAAGTTGCTGCTGTGCACTTTTATTTCCATTATCGAGACTTGATGCTGAGGGACTGTAGCTTGGTTGTCTCTGTGCTTTTTCACAGCGTCTCTCCTTGTGTTTCTTTTCCAGCTTACTGACTGCCCTACAGGACAGCAGACTCTTCTTGCTTTATTTTGGGCAGCAATCCTAAAAGCAATAGCTAATTGCCTTGGTGGCTGAAAGGCACGAGCAGCCCTAGTGCTGAGACCTACAAGCAGATCCCTGTTTCTCTATTCTGCTCTATGGTGGTTGGTTCCTCTTTCTTACAGTTTCTGCTGTCTCGATCAACTTTGGAGCCGTTGCAGGTTTCCAGCAGTAGCAATGGAGGAGAAGGCAAATGTCACTGGTCGGGTGGATAGACTGGACTTTGCATGCTCATTTATAAAGTGGCCTCCTCCCGCTTCCAGAGGGGGCGGCGTGAGAGCTTTTTACCTCCAGTGAGCTGTTTGAGAGGTGAGGGGGATGTTTGAGACCCATCAGTTTGCAGACCCAAATCTTGAGCAGGTTCTGGTACGTCCCTGTCCAGGTACCGTGCCGTAGGAGCGTGCGGTGCAAACCGTATGGTGGGACCCATTTGCTCTAGGACTAGTAGAATTGCAGGGACAGCTTTTAATTATGGGACTGTGGGATTTATAGCTTTAATCTGAGCTTTTCATTTCTAGGATGAATGCCGTACAAAAATTCCACTGCCTTGCACCAGGCCTTTCGATATTGTAAACATCTTAATAGATTTCATGTGCTGGGTGTCTGCGTGGTGTGACTAGATGTTAATAAACAGTCATCTTGACAGGAGTTTGTGCCTGGAATACCAAGACTTGGGAAAGGACTCAGACCCACTTCCTGAACAAGATCTGTAGAGACATTCAGCCTGCTTGGTAGCGCTGCTTTTTGGTAACGAGCCTTCTTCCATCTCTTTTTCTTTTCTTCCTAGGATGTTTTCCTGTCAGCCTGGCTTCTTGGGCAACTGCCTAAGTCAGGGCATGAATAACAGTTCCTGGAAGAGCAGTTGGGGCAGGCTTTACTGATGATAAGGTACACTCTCGTTTCCAGCATGGTGCTGGCAGCCTGTTGCTGGGCTTGTGTTTCAGAAGCTGCCTCGGAAGTCCAAATTCCTGGGTAGTCCGTGCTTTGTCTGCCTGAGAATGCAGTGGGCGTTACTGCCGCCGGCGAGCTACGATCGCTGGCAGCGTGGCTTGTGCTTTGAAATTGGACACAAATCGCTAAAAAGTCCTGTGGCAAAAATAGGTGGAGCGAGCACAAAACTCCGGCGACTTTGGTGCGGCTGGAGAGAGGCAGGAAGCGTATCTCGGGGGCCAGGAGCTGATTAGCAAGCCAGAGTAGCCCAAACCCAAGCGCGAGAGATGTGGAGCCCTTCGGGTGTTTTTTAGTGCCTGCTGGAAGAAGCTCCCATTCATTAATTTGGAATGGGTGGCTTATTTTTATTTATTTCTTTTTAAAGTCATTGTGAGTGGTTTACTGTGTCATAGCGCCGGCAGCTCGGCGCGGCGATGGGCGTCGGGGCTTGCTGCCGGCTGCATTCTTTTTGGGACAGTCAGAACTGCGCCGCTAATTCTTCTCATCGGAAGCTTGGGGTTTTTTGGGTTTTTTTTTTTTGCACGTGGATTGGGTCTGGAGATGTTTTAAGTCTCCATTTAAATTATTGAATTCAGACATCTTCTTAACTACTTAAAGGAGAGGCGCTAATAGTCTCGGAAGTCTGCGTGTGCGCTAAAATAATAGTGGTGTTGTGTATTGCATGCCTTGGTCGATGGGTGGGCTTTTCAAGCTGCTACATGTAACTTCAATTACTCTCTGTAGGATCTATCCCCGGTGGGGTAGGTGCCTCTTTTAAATACAGTGAGCAGTAGAAGGTACGAAACAC